TCATCAGGCTCTATCTGTACCTGTAGCTTTTCTTACAATATTCACAAATAAATGGTCTCTCTTCAGTGTGCATTCTCTGGTGCTCAATAAGTTGCCCACCGATTAAAGCATTCTGCACAGGTCAGGCACTCATGACTCTTTCCCTCACTGTGAATTTTCCAGGGCTGATAGGGTGGATCAAAGTGTAAAGAACTGCCTATACACAGGGCATTGATAGGTCTGTTTTTCAAGATGTTTTCTCTCATGCTCTGAAAGGTGTGCCAGCTGAGTGAATTAGATGCTGCACTGGGTCTCTCCTTTGTGTGAATATTCTGGTGCCTATCAAGGTCTGACTGGTGAAGGAATCCTTTCCCACATTTGGGACAGTTGTAACCTAGCTCTCCTGAATTTCTGGGTGACAAGGAAGTAGCTTAGTTATGAGTAGTTATAGGTAAACTGTGGTCCACACTCAAGGTAACAATAAGAATTTGTACTGGAAGGCTTTTGCTTGTTGGTCCTAGGTTTCAGACCTAGTTCAGACAAAGTTCTGGTTTGAACTTTGGGATGCCTCTCTTAGAAAGGGGTTCTGGGTGTCCACAGACTCTGTGCCAATGCTAAGTAGCTCTCCTGAGGATGTTTCCTGGGAAACTTCCAGATATTCACAGTTGTCCAGTAAGTTATGACCATGAATGGTGTTCCTATCTCTCTTGAAGTCAATCATTCCAAGCTTTTGGAACCCCACAGTCCCTTTGTGCACAGCTGTTCTCAACGCTCCAGTGGATAGCTCCAGTCAGGCTGTGGTACTGCCTGTCCAGGGTCCAGATGCCTGAAGGCATCTGCCAGCAGCATGATAGTTCAGGCCCTCTGGGCCTGCCTGTAGACTCCTGGCACTGGGGCCTCCTAGACTGGTCCATTAACAGGAGTGCAGGTGACTCCATGCACATTTCTGGCAGCAGTGATGCCATTCCAAACGGCTCCAGTTCTTTGAAGAGTATGTCACGCATGTCAAACTGATGCCTCTTTGTTCTCAAACTCATGTTCTCTTTGTAAGTGCTCTATCAGTGCAAATAGTTTCTCTCTACTCTCTGGGCCATGTGCGCTCATCTGCATCTCTATTTCTGTGGGCAGTACAGTGAGGAATTGTTCCAGCACAAGCAGCTTCAGGACTTATGCTATGGAGTGTATCTTTGGTTTCAGCCACTAATAGCAAAGCTCTCATAGTCTGTTTTCCTAAGGCTGTGCTGCTTCACTGTACTGGAACTGCCTGAAGTGCATGTGGGAGACTTCACATTCAGTGTCATAGTCACGCAACATGGGATTGAGTGGACAGCAAGATGGCCTGGATTGTACAACCCTGTTCCATAGGGATGGTGCTTTTTCAGTTGTTCACTGTTGATCAGAGCCTGAGGTTCAGGTTCTAATTTGTTTTTCTCTGAAATCACTTGGAAGGGGGATATACACAGTTTGTAGTTGGCTGGCTCCAAGGCAGGGTGGCATGGCAGAGAGGTATCACAGAGGAGAAACAGTGCATGGCAAAGCAGGGAGAAGGCAATGAAATAGCAAGCAGCACCAAGCCTGACTTCTTACTGGCTTTCCTATTCTTAAGTACATCAGATATTCCATTGTCTTTTCTCCACTGCATTCTATATAGTCAATAGCATTCTTACAGCTGCTTTTAAGTTCATCACTACCTAATTATATTTTGGGGTTATGGGGTATTAGTCACTAAGATTTGCTCTAAACGCTGTGGATCAGTTTCTGCTTTAACTATACTAGTCATTGTATTTATAGAGGGATTTGGGGCGATTAAAATATGACACAGCTATTTGTGACATCTTTTTTATTTAATATACTTTTGGTAGTTACTATTTTTATTATTTAGGAATATTGTATTTATAAGTGACAATGGTTTATGAGGTAGCAGAGAATGGTGATTGAAAAGATGCACTCTGGGCTGGGGATTTAGCTCAGTGGTTTTGCTGCCTGCTGTGCAAGCGCAAGGACCTGAGTTTGATCCCCAGTACCAAAAATAAATAAATAAATAAATAAATAAATAAATAAATAAATAAATAAATAAAATAAGTAAGAAAAGATTCACTTTACCAGGCATGGTGGTGCATGCCAGTAATCCCAGCACTCGGGAGGCTGAGGCAGGATTGCCATTAGGTTTTTTTTTTGTCTTTTTTTGGTACTGGGGATTGAACTCAGGTCCTTGCGGTTGCGCAGCAGGTGGCAAAACCACTGAGCTAAATCCCCAGCCCTGCCATGAGTTTAAGGCCAGCTTGGACTATGTAGTGAGTTCAAGGCCAGCCTGAGCTACACAGCAAGACTCTGTCTCAAAAAAAAGGAAAAGAAAAGATGCTCTTTGGAGTAAGACTTCCTCCCCTCCTCCAGGCCTTGGAATCAGACTCATGTATGTTCTCATGTATGCTAAGCAAGCTCTCTTAACACTAAGCTACATCCCCAGCCTAGACTGTCGGTTTTCAAATCATTTTTTTGTTTTTTTGTACCGGAGTTCGAACTTGGGACCTTTTGCTTTCGAGACAGGCAGCGGCACCACTGAGTTAAATCCCTGGCCCTTCAAATCATTTTTTAACAGCTGTGTGATTCATAATGTTTCTTAGTTTCCTCTGTAAAACAGGCATTTGTGAACACTAACTTAACACATGTAAAGCACTGAGAAAAGTACTAGGTTACTTAGTAGGTATTCAACAAACATATCTGTTACACTTAATGTAGTTTTCTTTTGCAAGACTTTTTTTTTTTGGGTACTGGGGATCAAACTGGGGCCTTGAGCTTGTGAGGTAGGCAGCAGAACCACTGAGCTAAATTCCCATGCCAGTCCATATGGACTTTAACAAAAACAATACTAACTCTCATTCTATGAAAAGCCTGAGAGATCACAGAAAATGAATGAAAATTAAAAAAACCAAATTGGTAGCCAAAGCTGACTTCATAGCCTTCAGCACCTTAACTACAAAAGAATGAAAAATATATTCAATAAGCAGTCAGGCTGGGGATTTAGCTCAGTGGTTTCACTGCCTACTGCACAAGCTCAAGGACCCGAGTTCGATCCCCAGTTCCAAAAAAAAAAGAATAAGCAGTCACTATTAGAGGTTAAGTGTCTTCTGCTTCTGAAAGTAGAAATCAATGTAATAGGAGAAAGAGGATGAATACCACCAAATAATGGCAACAATGTGGAAAACAGAGACATTCATACATTGGGAGGAATGGGAAAAAATGATATGCGTAACGTCTAATTAAAGTAGAAGATGAATATAGCCTAAACTGTCACATCCACTTCTAGGTTAAGTATGCTAGAACAGATAAACCCAACTGGTATGCTAAGGATGGGCAGCTGGGTGAGGCCTGAAATGGCGACAGATCCTCCAAACTTCATTATTTTATTCAAGTATAGTATGCAAGTATTCTTTCCTATACTATCATTAATGTACATGATGGCAAGCAATCTCCTCTTCTATTATCTTACTGGATTACTACATTAGAAAATCAAGTTTCATTGACATCCAGGGCCTTATTTAATTCTCTGATGCATTTCTAGCAGCTAGCATAGTATGTGGTATATAATACTAGCTCAATAATTATCTGTTGAATGTACAAGTGCCTAACACATAAAATGTTCATTTGAATATTATAAAAGTGCAATTAGAAACTATATAAATTACTCATTTAAATAAAGGATTTACTAATATAATTATTCGATGAAATACTATTCAGCCATCAAATGAACTAGAGATCCTTATGTAAACCTCAAAAACAACACTGAGTGAAAAAATAAACTCCAGAAAGACATGTATACTGCACCTTATATAAAAATCTGTTAACATATAAAACTAGATTATGTATTAAGTACAAAATTATTTTTATATATATTTCTTCCATCTGGGGAAAACAAAAGGGAAAAGGTAACAGGAAAACATTTGCAAGAGCGTTCAAATCAATCTATGATATTTTATTTCTGAAATAAAAATCTAGAGCACACTAAAAGTTATGATTTGATAGGATTAGATGTTACGTGGGATCTTTGTATTCTTAAATATATTAAAACTCTAAATATTAAATTTTATGTATGGTTTTAAAAACCTTAATTAAAAAAAGTAGGAAAAAAAAAAGTGAGGGAGGACTGATAAAAAAATGAAGAGGGCCGGGGATTTAGCTCAGTGGTTCCACCACCTGCCTTGTAAGCACAAGGTCCCGAGTTCGATCCCTGGTACCAAAAAAAAAAGAAGAGATTGGGCATGGTGGTGCATACTTGTAATCTCAGCTACTTATGCGGCCTGGGCACAAGGATCGTAAATTCAAGACCAGTTTGGGCAACTTAGACCGTGTCTCAAAGAAAAGGGGGAGGTAGGTTTGCAGCTCAGAGGTAGGTTGCTTTGCTGAGGATGTGCAAAGCCCTCGGTTCAGTTCCCAAAACAGAACAACAAAAAAGTATACTGAAGAAATTAAGAATATTTCCACAACTCTAATCAAAAAACTTGAAACAAAGCCTCAAAAAAATCCTCTTTGTAGAAAAATTACAAATTATAAAAATTGATAAACTGCTAAAGAAAGGTATCAGAGAAATATTCCTCAAAAAAACAAAAGATCTCAAACTCAATTGTTTTTTTCTAAGTTATTAAAAAAACCCTTTAAATTTCCTTAAATAATCTTCCTGTGTACTATTCCACATTGTGTAATAAATGAAATATGCAATCTTGGTACAATGCTGAGATTTCAGAAGACTGGCACAATTACTTAGATCTGTATTTTATATATATGCCACCACACTGATCTTACAGACCAAAACAGGTGACAGGCTTAGGAAGTTTACAGATGAAATTTTACACTTGAAAGTTTTAGGTGTGCTAGAATTCCAAACTGCTTCAAAGAGATCATTTAAAATTGGACTCCATTATTTGTAACACTGCATTTCTTTGAATCTTTGAAGAACAGATTTCCTTTGTTATTAAAAATTTTATAAACTATAAGGAAGGAAATAAAGTATAAAGAAAGAAAGAGTCCTTTCTTTGGAGGTTATTTATTTACAAAGTCATATTTTCATAAAATAGCTTAATAATTTTTGTTGTGTCATTCAGTTGGAATACAGAAACCCAAAACATCGATCTTTTAATTTTTATGTTTAAATGTGACAGTTCATAAAAAGAAAATACAAATGGCCCAAATAAACAGATGTTTAACCTTATTCTTAAATGAGAATTCCACGGAAATTAAAATACCACTTTTCAACTAACAAATTGGCAAAGACCAAAACATTTGATAACCTTGTTTATAAACATTTGAGGAGCCAGCCTGGTGGTGCAAACTTGTAATCCCAGCACTCAAGAGGCTGCAGCAGGAAGATTGCTGAACTACACAGGGAGACCCTGTCTCAAAACCAAAACAAAACAGTAACACACACACACACACACACACACACACACACGCACACGCACACGCACAAGCAGATGGGGGAAAATGGGGACACGTGTACATTGTTGGTAGGACCATAAATTGGCATAATCCTCGTAGAAAGCAATTTTCCAACATGTCAAAAATTAAAATGCAAAAAATAGTCACAGTAACACACACCTGTAATCCTAGCTACTTGTGAGGTTGAAGCAGATGGATCATGAGTTTGAGGGCAGCCTAGGAAACACATCTCATTAAAAAAAAAAAGTACAAACCTTCTGACTTAGGAATTCTAATTTTACATTTTACAGTAATTTATTATGTACAAATGACCTATGCACAATGTATTAAGGTATATTTATACAATATAACATTCTGTAGTTGTAAAAAATATCAACTATTTACTGATATCAGACAATCTCAAAAATATCACATGTAGAAAGGACAAGCTGAAGACCAATGTACACTGTATTGTATCTCTTATGGAAAATATCTCTAAGAAGATATTTAAGGAACTGATAAGACTTTAGGAAGGAGGAACTGAAAAAGGGAAGGAAACCTTTTCATTGTATATTATTCAATGTCTTTTGAATGTGAATACAAATTCTTTTGGGAAAAAAAATTGTTTTTCTTAAAAGAGTTTATTTTAAGATGAGAATTAGGATTCCAAGCTGAGCACACTGTCATGCTTTAGTCCTAGCTACTTGGCAGGTTGAGGCAGGAGAATCACTTGAGCTCACAAGTTCCAGACCAGGTATGGGAAACATATCTCATCCCAAAAAAATAAATAGATAAATTAAAAAAAAAAATCAAAACCACAACAGGAAAACCAGGTTTCCAGCAGACACAAGTCTTTTAAGACACAATTAGCAGGTATTGTATTTCTTACATTTGACGGATAAACTTTTCTATAATTCTACTGAGTCTTTCAGGCTCCATCAATTTATTTACCAACTCCTGCTCAACAGCCATTAGGGCCAGGCCACTGAGCTTCTCTTGTCCCATGGTATGAAATAAATACGTTTTAAGACGAGGCAGTGTAGAAAATGAGTTTTCATTACTTGCTGAAGTAACTGGCCAAGACAAAGCAATATGTAACAGCTTTGAGATACAAGGAATATTATTGTGAAGACCGTGTTGAATAAACAAATAGCCAAGTGTAATGAAATTGATGGAAGCATAATCTATGACAAAGTTGAGCTTTGCATAATGCCGATAAAATCTAAGTTCAGGGATAATATCTGCATCAAGCTTATAAAATTCTTGAATATGTTTGGCTGTTGCTTCATTTAATGGTTCATTCCATTTAAATAACAGCTCTGAAATTTGCTTCATTTTACAATAATCAAACTCTGAAAAATATAATTTAAAATTTTGTAATATAGTATCTAATCCTTGGTAATAAATATTAATTTTATATTGTTCTTCTGTTGAAGTAGGAAAAAACACATTCTCTGAATTGCCAAGATCTATAGTTTTCTGAATTTTTCTTCTTTTTTGAAGAGAAGGCTTTTCAACTTCAAAATCTTTACTGATAATTTTTCTACATATTTCCTCTGCTCCATCCCAGAGAGTTTTGAAATATACATCATTTCTTTCAGATGATAAACATTCCAGAATTGCTTCTATTTTTGAAGACAAAGAAAAAATGTCCATGGTTTCACTTTGAAGCTCTTTGGAAAGAATTCCTGTAACACTTAACACTCGATAAAGAAATTTCAAACAAAAAACAAACTCAAATTTGGAAACTAGTGTTAGTAAATCATTCAATTCATCAGCCAAACTTGTGTTTGAGGAATGGCTTGACACAACTTCCAGTGTTTCAATAATGTCTGGAAGTCTCTCAATCACAGATAACAATGTACGGTCATGGACTATCCAACATGACTGTGATGTATGTTTACTGCATGTTTTGTTTTGACTTAGCTTACAAATGTCTCGAAAATTCGCTAGCATTTCCCCAGACATATAAATAGTGTTGAACAAAGAACTGAGAGTATGTAGAGCACCTCGGAGTTCTTTTATTTCGTTACAAAACCTAATTACTGCTAAATCAAAAAAATGTGCATAACAATGTACATATAGAGCTCTTGGCTCTTCCTTCTTGAATTCTGCTGCAATTTCATTAAATTTTACTCTCAGATTAGTGGTACTATCATAGGCCTGGCCACAAATATTATTAAAATCAACTCCAATTTGCTGCAGATAAGTTTTGATACTCCTGTGTAAGTGGGTCCCAGTCTTCTCTTCAATATCAACAAAACCCAAGAATCTTTCCTTAATTATGATAGCTTTTGATGTTTTTTGTGGGTATCTTACACAAATTGAAAGTTGTTCTTTGGTGGCATTAGTTATCTCATCACATAAAATTGAAAAAGCTGAGGAGAGATTGATGTCATTCACAATATCCTGCAACATTTCCATCTTTATTATTTCAAAAATATCAGCTTGGATTTGTGTACTATTATAGAAGTCAACTTGTGAATTCATGAGTTGATACATTTCTTCTCCTTTATCTTTTGCTCTGATTTCTAACAATTCTAAAAAATTGCCTTTATTCACAGAAGAAACAGAATGGGCATCTCCTCTTAAGGGTAAACACTGCTTCCCAAGAAATAAAATATTTTCAACTATAAGCTTTAGGTACTTTTTTTGCTCCTCAATCTGTTTTGGATGATTAGATAAATCATCACTGACAGTTTCATCACAGAACTGGTATTTCCTCCAAAACTGCAAGGACTTCAAATGCATTTCACTTTTTTCATGCTTTCTGAATTTTTCCAGCGTTTTTTTCCAATTAGAAGTTTCTTGGGTTACAAATGACTCTCCTCCATAGCTAAAACTTTTTTGGCAGAACAACTGGCATGAATAACAAAATGTTACATCTTTTTTAACACTGTTATTTAAGCGCTGACGATTTGAACGCCAAGATTTTCTAATACTTTGTGGTTTATCTTTAACTTTTTGCACTTTAGAAGTAAATTTTGGAGGATGACAGAGTCCATTACTTGATTTCATACTGTATGCAGGATCCTGGTCTAACACTTCATCTTTTTGTGCTTCTATGCTGGAACAAGCTGTCTGCTGACTGAGTACTGATGATGATGGCAAAAGGTTTGGCTGTTCCATACCATTAGCAACACTACTACTTGATTCCCTGGGTGAACTCTTTGAAATCTTTGGGTAAAATGATAAAATAAAACTTGTTTTAGCAGTTTTCAAATAAAACATCCAACACATCTATCCTGATAACACAGTTAAATAAATTACAGTACGAACTTCTCGGTGGGGGACACTAACAATTACTTATAACTAATCTGTTTGCAATCTAGATTCAGTATTAAATGTTAAAAGAAACCTTTTGGTATATAATTTAAAAGTAATTTTTACTGCTTGGATGCCTAGAATTGTTTACTCCCAAAGAGGGGAGATATGACTAATAAGACTTCTGTGTAAACATTCTTATAAACACATACATGCATGCATACATAATTTGTTTATCAAAGATAGTAGCCAAAAAAATTAGGATAAAACTTACATCCATAATGACATTTTCTGTTATTGAAGAAACTGTACCTGTTAAAATAAATTGAAGCATAAATTCAAGATCTCATACTATCATCTATAAAATAGCATCATAAACTGTAATGACATTTCGTATCAGGAAACAAAACCAATATTTAACAAATAAATAGATTCATCAAGCATGACGAAACTGTTTATGTCAAATGTCTTTACATCAACTTTTACCTTGTAAGATGTCTGTGTTCACAATGGGCAGGGCAGCATGATTATCTGCTAATGACATTATATTGCTTATAACTGGAATTAAATCTTTCTTTGGAGAAAGGTGCTCCGTTGAAGCACTGTGCGTTGTGGAAACATTTACTGATGAAAATAAACAAAAATATTTCTTATAAACTGGGCAGAATCAATCAATCAGAAAGCAGTGTTTAATAAGTGTTTTGGGCTAAGGATGTAGCTCAGTGGTAGAGTGCTTACCTAGCATGTATAAACTCCAGAGCTAGATTCCCCAGCTCCACAAAAACAAAACAAAACAGAAGAAAAACAAACAAAAACCACAACATATAAAAAAACCCAAACATGGCTATTGTGGCTTTCCTCACGATAGCCTACCCTGCTTTCTCCAGGGTGTTCTTTTATCTTGCTTTTTCCTTTTTTACTCGGCCCATATTCACTCTGCAGAGCCAGTTTCTCCCTCACTCATTTTTACTTTTTCAAATAAATTTTGCCACTGCTTTTTGCAAAACAAAACAAACAAAAAACCAAACATCTTTCAAGGAACAATGCAAATATCAAATATCTTAGGTACTGTTGGGAACTAGAGTAATTTTTCTTAGGGGTTAGGAATACTCAGGTTCTTTAGAATATTAACAACATGAAACTGATAAGTTACATTACTCTATCATTTTATATCTTTTACCTTTGCACATAATTTCTCAGTACTTTTAGCATATTTGCTTGAAATTATGTATAAATAGTTGATGTTAAATTACCTCTAGTGAAGATTCTTGTAGAATCTCCTAGTAGATATTATTAACTCTTCCAGGATTCATAAAACTCAACATCAATTAAGCTAGGGTGGTATCCATGTTAGTACTACAGAGAGTTCTGTAACAAACCAGTTTATATAATGTACAAACTCCAGAGGCATCATTTAGTTGGTTGCCTGTAAATAGCACCACTGGTCCTATATGAAGGGTCACTGATAGACTACTTAGTTGGCCCAGGCTTAGTAATGCTTTCTATTTTAAAGTTGAGTGAGCTGAGGAATGAACCCAGGACCTCATGCTGGCTGGGAAAATGCCCTACCATTGAGCTATATCTCTAGCCTTTCACTGTGGAATCTTTTTTTCTTTTTTTGGAGACAGAGTCTCATTATGTAGACCAGGTTGGCCTTGAACTCATGGCAATTCTCCTGCCTCAGCCTCCTGAGGGTTGGGATCAAAGGCCTGCTCCACCACACCCTGTACCATTATGGAATCTTAAGGCATTTTCACTTACGTATACTTTGTGTAAAAAATGTAACTAAAAGCCTTATTTACACAAAGCAGAACTAAGTACAACTGAAAAAAACACACCTAGGATTGAAACCAGGGCTTTTGTGCTGAGCTACAGTCTCAAACCTTTTATTCATTTAAAAATTATTATTATTTTTTGTTGTGAGACAGGACCTCTCTACACAGTTCCGGCTGGCCTCAATCTCACTAAGTAGCCAAAGCTGGCCTTGAACTGGTGGCGATCTGATCCTCTTGCTTCAGCCTCCTGACTGCTGAGATTACAGGTGTGAGCCACCATGCCCGGCTTCAACTCTCTTAAATTTTTTATTTTGAGATAGGGTCTTGCTAAATTACAAAGTTGCCCGGGCTGGGCTTGAATTTGTGATCCTCTTGCCTAAGTCTCTCAAAGTGCTGGGATAACAGGCATGTGTGACCATGCCCAGCTAACATTCTACAGTCTATCAGAACTATTCTTACCATAAATGTACTGAAAAAACTCATTATTTATTTATTTAATCAATATTGATTTAAGTGACTCCTATGAACCAAGTCCTGTATTAGGTTCTCAATGTAAACAAATGTTAAGTATGTGAATGTATGTAAACATATTCATTTATTAAAGGATCTAAATAAAGACAAATATCCCTAACTTTTTTCCATAAATCTTACTTTTTTAAAAGTTTTTTTGAGGGTCAGGGATTTATCTCAGTGATTTCGCCACCTGCTGCGCAAGCGCAAGGACCCAAGTTCAATCCCCTGGTACTAAAAAACAAAACAAAACAAAAAACAAAAAGTTTTTTTGAGACAAGGTCTCGCTATGTAGTTCAGGCTAGACTTGAACTCACTATGTAGCCCAGGCTGGCCTTGAACTCACAGCAATTACCCTGCTTCAGCCTCCTAAATGCTGGCATTACAGGTGTGCACCACCACACCTGGATAATCTTTGTCTTAAAGAGGATTTGTATCAACACAACACAACGAAATTTACAAATAAATATTAAATCTCTAGTACAGTAGCCTTCCTTTTACACAAAAAATATCAGGAAATGCCACTCCTGATGACTCATACCCATAATACCAGCACTGAAGGATGAGACAGGAGAATCACAGGTTCAAGGACAGCATGGGTTACTCAGTGAGATTCTGTCTTAAAATAAAAAGGACCAAGGATGTAGCTCAGGAGTAGGGTGCCCTTGGGTTCAATTCGAAAGTGCTACAAAAAGAAATAAACAAAAAACTAGAAAATAGTTCTTTGCAACATGTTTTAGACTATTTTGCCTTATAAACTGGTTTAGTTTGGAGATGAATCAAGGTTATAAATGAAAAGCAAAATGTACTTATATTCTTCAATCATCAGTAAAACTCTGAAGTGGCTAAACAAACATTACCTGTAGAAGAGTCCATCTTAGCTTTATTGTATGCAGAAAAACAATTTATAGAGCAGAAAATCTCTGTCTTCCCCAAGTCATTAGTAATCTCAATCATTTCATCTGATGGTTTCAATGATTTGTAAGGAAAAGACGTAAGTGTTTTGGTTGGTTTCTGTTTAGAGATTAAAATAATATTCACACTCCTGGCATATGTCATATATTGTTAACAAACAAAAGCATATCCACTACGACTGCTTTTAGTTGCAGCATTACAAATAATGAGAATGAAGCCAATTTTGACACTTTCTTTAAAAAAAAAAAAGCAACCAAAAACTGGGCATGGTGGCGAAAGCCTATAATACCAGCACTCAGGTGGCTGAGGCAGGAGGATTGCCTCAAATTTGAGACTAGCCTGGGCTACATAGTGAGATCAAGGCCAGCCTGAAAAAAAAAAAGGCCAAAAAAAGACAAAATAGATTGGAATGACTGAAATGGAGAAAACTGATAAATCTATTTGAAAAGTATTTTATTATTTACTGGATATATTTAACAGCAATAACAGTAATAATTACAAGTCTTTCTTCAACACCAGCTTGACTATCAATTGGAGAATGCCTTCTATTGGTGCTAAGGAGGAACCAGAAAAGGGTGCTTAACACATATTACAAGACAGTGTGTGGATCACTGTGTTTCTAGGCTAACTTTATGGTAAAAATCACAAATACATTGTAAGAAAGCACCATACAAGCAATATAGAAGTATAGGCTACAGTGAATTCAATAAGCAGTAAGTATACAAAGGAAAAGGATATAAACTATGAGGATCACTATCTCTCCCTTGGTCCTTCCCTTTCCTTTTCTGGTTTTTTGAGACAGGCTCTTGCTACAGGTTGGCCTTGAACTTGCTAGGTAGCCCAGGCTGGCCTTGTGATCCTTCTGCCTCAGCCTCCTGAGTGCTGGGATTACAGAAGTGTGCCACAACACTAGGCTATTCTTTTATAACCTGATAGCAATGATGGGTCAGAACTGCTTTCTGAGGTACACATTGCAAAGACAAATGAAAATTTGCACATTTTTCTTTTTTTGGTGGAAGAACAGAATACTGATAAAGGAACAACGAAAAAAAAAGCAGAGAACAATTTTCAAATTTCTATTATTAATATTAACAAGGGCCAGGGATTTAGCTCAGTGGTGCCGCTGCCTGCCTTGCAAGCTCAAGGTCCCGAGTTTGATGCCATTTACTAAGTTATTTCAGCTGGTGTAGCTGCTATGATCCTAGAACTCTGGGTGAGGCAGGTGCATCACAAGTTTCAGGCAAACCTGGGCAACTTATGACTTAGCAAATCACTGTCTCAAGAAAAATAAAAGGGCTGAATTTATAAATTAATTTTCATTCACACAGGAAAACCAATACTTCATATACTCTATTAAGCAGAAATGACCAAGCAGGATATGATGATCAATGCCTATAATACCAGCACTCTGGGTGGCTCAGGCAAGTGGATCAGAAGTTGAACCCACCCTGGGCAACTTAAGTGACTTAATTAAAAAAAAGATGTGACCAAAATAATTAGTTATATCAAATAATCTACTTTTTTTTGTTTTTTGGTAGAATTTTGCTAAGTTGCTAAGCTTGCCTTGAACACACAATCCTCCTGCCTCAGTCTCCTGAGTGCCAGTATTACAGGGACAGGCCACTGTGGCAGTATAAAATAATCCACCTTTTACAATTAAAATCCAACTCATTTTTAGATTCATATATTTTAACATTTTTCCAATTCTTAGTTATAGTTCACTAACAACATGGTTTATCCCATCATCACTGTTGTATAATAACTTATATACAGAAAGTTTTAGAAGGGCTTGTTAGCTGGTTTACCTCTTATCACATAGGGTGAATAACTGGGTGTTCTCTACAGGCTAATAAAACAAGGGCTATTTACTGAGTGTGAGTGAAGAAGAATAAAAAGAAAGAATGTATTTCTTACATTTGGAGGAAAGCTTCTGTGCCTTCTATCTTCCCATTTCTGGTCCCAAGGTAGGACATTATCGTGGTGAGGACATCCCACCATAGAAAAGACATGGCTCACAAATGACCTATTTGAATTGTGGTTTATTGGATTTCTCTTGGTATTAGGGATTTAACCCAGGGCCTTCATACTGAGCTACATCTCTAGGCCTTTTATACATCTTGAGACAGGTTCTTGCTAAACACTAAGTTGCGGGCCAGGGATTTAGCTCAGTGGTTTCGCTGCCTGCTGCGCAAGCGCAAGGACCCGAGTTCGATCCCTGGTACCAAAAAAACCAAAAACCAAAAAATACTAAGTTGCTAGGGTGTGCTTGAACTTGTGAACCTTCTGCCTCACCTTCCCAGAGTACTGGGATTACAGGCATGCACTGCCAGGTCTGGCCAGTTGCTGGTTTTTAAGGAACAATTTATAGGGATCAACTTAAGGTCACAAAGCATCACATGAACAAGATTATGTAATAGTCCTACTTCACGAAAGAGGACCAGACCAGTAATTGTGTTCATTTCAGTCCACCAAAGGACAGCCAGCCAAGGATCTCCTATCAAAAATAGGGGTTATTTCTCACTATATTATTGTTTTTAATGACTGATTTAGAAAAAGCATGTAACATTCTTGATTTATTTTTATGCTGCTTAGGTGAAAGAGTTAAAACACATGGAATTCAAAATAAAAACACCTTTTCTCTTTGGGGTTTAGTAAGTTTTTTACTAATTTTATTTTTGCTATCTTTATTTGTAGTTTATAAATAAGACTTCCACTTGCCTGCCTTTTCTCCTGGGTAAGACAATCACAGATTATCTAGTAGGAAAATCTCCACACAACACTTACGAATTCTCATCCATCTTTATAAATTTACCAGCAGAAATTATTCCTAGTGGTATGAAAAACTATATCTAACACATTTTCCTAGAGTAAAACCATTCATAGACCAACAAATGGAGGCAATAATCTTTCTTCATACCTTCTCATGTGGTGTAATAGTCTTTGAACTATTAAAGTAGTTAGACTGTCCATCCTTTTGAAGTATTTGAAACAGACTAGAGCTGGTATAACAGTAAGCTCCACAATTCTCACAACAGCTCATGATGAAGTTGTTCGCAGAGTGAAACTTTGAAAAGCAGGCATTATTGCAAAGACTGTATTTCACATTCTGGTATTTTACTTCATACTGAATCTAGGATTTAAAGAAAAAGGATTTAAATAAAAACTGTCCCATTTAAGAAGAATCAGAATTCCTCTAAATGTTAAAAAAAATTTCCAACTTACAGTAGCTGTCTTCTGACATATGCTGCACTTGGTCAAAACGCTATTAGTACATATGGTAACAAATGGTTTTCTTTTTCTTCATATGATGAAAGACAAGATTGGCTACAAAAATTTTTGCTAGAGGTCTTATCTTCCAGTTGGATATTGATCACATCCTTCAGATTTATAATGTCTCTAAAAATAAGTAACAAGGACATCATGAAGCACCTTTACCACAATACTAATTTCTTGCTCTTCATAAACTAAATGACCCCTCTCTGCTGTTTCATTTACCTGAAGAACTGTGAAACAATAGTAAGAACATCAACCTTGAAATTAGAAAACCCGAATTTGGTATCCAGTTCTATCATTTATATTAAGCAGGCTTGGATAAATCATTTATACTCCCTACACTTTAATTTCTTCATCCACAGTAATGTTTATAAAACATGTGATAGTGCGATTGTCTTTTTTCTTTTTGGTACCGGGGATCAAAGTCAGGTCCTTGTGCTTGCGCAGCAGGCAGCGAAACCACTGAGCTAAATCCCTGGCCTTGATAGTGCAATTGTGAGGACTAGCCTGCATCAGTTGATGCTAGTGAGAACACAGTGATGATGAGAAATAGCATGTTCATATCTGAGCAACTCTGGAATCTATCAGACAGACTGTCTCAAACTATAGCCTGCAATTTCTGTTGAAGGCAGAGGTGGTATACCCTAGATACTCGCAGGGAGAATACAGTATCAAAGCTACTTTTCATAAAATATTAAAATATTGCTTTTCACTATGTTGACATTTTAATTAATGGTGCAAAGCCAAGAGTAAGAGCCCACAATTCTACTCTTAGGTATATACACAAAAGAACTAAAAACAGGTACTCAGACAAGTATATATTCACACAGGTTCATAACTACTAGCACTATTTACAATAGCTGAGAGAGACACACCTCAAATGTTCATCAATGAATAAATGGATAAATAAATTGTGTAAATGCACACAGAGACTATTACTCAGCTATAAAAAATAATGAAGGGGGCCAGGGATTTAGCTCAGTGGTGCCATGCCTGCCTTGCAAGTGCAAGGTCCTGAGTTCGATCTCCAGTACTGGGCAAAAAAAAAAAAAGAAGTACAAGAAGGATGCTTCTTGAAAACATACTAAGGAAAAGAAGCCAGGCACAAAATCACATGTAGTATGATTCCACTGATATGAAATACTCAGGACAGGTCCATAGAAAGAATGTAGATTAATGGTTACTAGGGATTTAGAAGAAAGAAGGGTGGGGAGAAACTGCTTAATAAATAAGGTATCTTACTTTGGGGTGATAGAAATGTTTTGGAACAAGATGGAGGTAGCAGTTGTCCAACATTCTGAGTATACTAAATGCCAATGAAATGGTTAATTTTTTTGTTACATAAGTTTCACATCAATGAACTGGGAAAACAAAAAAGCAATGATAGGTAAAATTACCTGAGCTTTAGTACATATCAAGGCAGTGGCCTTGATACCACTGATACCAAAATGTACCAATACTCATATTACTCACTTCCGGACATTTGCTGTAAAACCATCTCAGTTTCAATTAGGATATCCTTAATAAAAGTGAATATTTTTAACTTATTTAAATCTGATCCTGGAGTATACTGTTTTAATAGTCTATGTGACACACTGGGACATGGGCATTAAGTATTCTCCAGCCCACCAAAGGTTGATGACTGTCTCAAGAAAAAGCCTATATAAGAGAATATAAAGTTATAACCTGAATTAGCTATTTTTTTCATGGATTGTATTTTCACTTGAATATATATTCAGAAGTGGGTATCTGCAGATATTTTCTTGAAAATTAAAAAGTGAGACTGTCACTTCAAGGAAAACAAGTGACAGTAATTACTGCCAGTAGTAAAATTCAACTGGTTAAGTAAAAATTAGAATTTTCTGAAAACCTGTATCTGCCACCTCCAGCTTGCTCACTTGCCAACATTTGAAGTTTTCTGATGAGTTTGGCGATAATCCATAAAATATTGCATAATGAAATGTGTCAACATTTGGAGGATCTCTAGAACTCCCTGAACCAATTATTTTCCAAATGATGACAGCATGTTATAAAAATCATTCATTCATGGGTAAAATATACATTCAAAGAACAAGACAGACTGATGAAAATAAGACATTTCTCCCTTTCCCAATAAACTCATCCTTTTTCCAATTATATATTTGTGAGGCCATATTTCCTTAGCAGAACAAGTATGAAAATCCAGCCAGTCATTAAAGTGGTTTGCAAAACTGATAAATCAATTCATTTTTCAAATTTTTAAAAATATGGCAAATTTTTCATTAAAATTTTAAATTCCTGACATAGTAAATTTGATGAATATAGTCTATGTAATTACAGCCCTTTGGGTCTTCAATAATTTTTTTGGTGGTAGCGGGGATTGAACCCAAGGCTTTTGCATTGAGCAACATTCCTGGCCCTTAATTTTTTTATTTTGAGACAGGGTCTGGGCTAAATTGTCCTTGCTGGGCTCAAACTTGCAATTCTCCTGTCTCAGCCTCCCAGAATCTGGGATTATAAGTGTGTACCACCACACCTGGCTGAAGTCTTTAACAATTTTTAAGAGTGTAAAAGAAGCCAAGTGCACTGGCATGGACTTGTGGTCCCAATGACTTGGGAAGCTGAGGATGGCTTGAGTCCAGGTGTTCCAGGCCAGACTGGGCAACAGTGAAACTTCGTCTCATTAAACAAACACACAAACAACTACAACAAAAAAAAAAGCAAAAAGAGAGTGTAAAGGGGCCCTGAAATCAAAACGTTGGAGAAGTGCCACTATAATAAATACCAAGATATCTGAATTCTTGGACCTTCATAATATTAATCTTTGAGGATAACCATTTTTAAGGTGAATTTCTCCTGAAAACAATACTACTTTAACATTTTTTTTAAAATCATCTTGGGGTACCAGGGATCAAACTCGGGTACTTGTGCTTGCGCAGCAGGCGGCGAAACCACTGAGCTAAATCCCTGGCCCAACACCTTAACATTTAAAAAAAAATTTTTTTTTTTTCTGTACCAGAGATTGAACTCAGGACCTTGTGCTTGCGAGGCAGGTGCGGTGCCACTGAGCTAAATCCCTGGCCCAACAATTTTTAATGTAGGGCTGGGGATTTAGCTCAGTGGTTTCGCTGTCTGCTGCACAAGCCCAAGGACCCAAGTTCGATCCCTGGTACCAAAAAAAATGAAATTTTTTTAGTGTACATATTAAGGACTTTCTACTTTCCTAACCTAAAGTAACAGTTTTATAACATTATCACATCAGTGATTTTACCAGTGTAAAACACAGCTAGCTCTAGCCACAGTGTTCTTCCTACACTTCATTTGATAGGATACAGTTTCAGGCAATGCTAGGCCTTTAGTGTGTAAAGCTGAGTACAATCTGGTCCTTCATTGCAAGAGGCTCACTGTCTAAACAGGACAAGATAAGAATACACACCACTGCATAAAAACAAGACCACAGAACATTTAGTTTGGGGAGGCAGTGATAAAAGCAGAATGAGGGACAGTGCAAGAGCAGACAAGAGGTGAAGATACTTGAGGCATATCCTTAAGACAGAAAGAAATTAGCCAGATAGAAAAAGAGGCAGAAGAAGCTACACCAGAAAAGGCATGGCAATCTGAACATGTTTACTAGTTTTTACTGCTATCAGCATACTACAATGCTGGTTTCTAATCTATTAAAGACTTATAAGCAAAAAATTAAGAAATGAATTTTGATAGGAGGACCTAAAGTTGGCTTAATGAAACTTTGAGCACAGGTAAAACATTAGTGCATAGGTGTATATTGGACTCTGGTGCTTGGTTGCAGGGTTTTGAGGATTTGGAACCAACAAGGACACTAAAGTGTAGAAATGATATTTCATTTAATCTTCAAGGATATGCAAAATAAAAACATACTAAGATAAAATAAATGATACTCTTAAATATATAGTTGCCTGAAACAAGTCACAGCTTTTTAAATAAAATTTCAAATGTCATATTCAAAGCTTTTATATGGTTCATGAAATAGAATAAAAACTAACCCCCAAAGAGGTCAAAAAACCATTGTTATGAAAGAAACCTTGGGATGGGGATTTAGCTCAGTGGTGCTGCGCCTGCCTCACAAGTGCAAGGTCCTGAGTTCGATCTCTGGTACCAGAAAAAGAAAAAAAAAAAAAGATTTCTTAGGGGCTGGGGATTTAGCTCAGTGGCAATGTGCCTGGTGGAGTTTGATTCCTGGTACCAGAAAAACAAAATAAAACAAAAGAATAATTCTCACAGAAAGAAACCTCAAAAATGACTATAACTTAGCTAAAATTTTGAGAATTATAAGAAGGTAATGAATATACAATTTTAAAGGATTTTTCTTTTTTGGGGGGAGACAAGGTCTCACTATGCAGTTCAGAATGGCCTTGAACTCACTATGTAGCCCACACTGGCCTTGAACTTGCTGTAATCCTCCTGCCTCAGGCTCCCAACTGCTGGGACTACAGGCAAGCAACACACCTGGCTTTAAAGAGTTGATAAAAGCACAGGTCACCATGAACAATGATGGTCTCTCCCAATATAAACGTTACAACCATATTTCCACCAACCTATATAGTTTTTAATAAGAATTTTATTCCAGAGGAAGTAAAACTCATCTATTTTTGCTCATACTGGATTTCTATGCCTTAGAAAATGACTTACACACTCTTTCCTGCTTCTACCTTTCTCAATCTGTCTGACATGTGGTTATGTTGGTGCTAAAGAAATGTTGTGAGTACACGCCAAACATAGCAAGATGATACCTTAACTTCCCAGGGCCTCCTAGGGTTTCCTCAAAACGAAAAGAAAAGGTTTGGACTGGATGATCTCTAAGGTCCCTTCCACTTTTATGATTCTGCAGAGAGAGAAAGTAGGCTGAAGACAGTGCCACATAGCCCAGAGCAATAAAGAAAAAAGACAAAGTATAGTATTGAAGGGCTGAAAAAGCAAAAGAGAAAAATAAACACAGTTTCGAGGAATAAGACTTAAAGCAACAGATAATACTTGAAGCAGCAGTCAAATGAGGAGCTAAAGCAGTCCATGAAAAGGGTTTTTGAGTTAGTCAAGGGTATAACAATAATAGTGACAGTTAACATTTACTGAGTTCTTATTACATGCCAGTACTGTTCTGATCACTTATCTACATTATTTAATCTTCATGTTCGTATTTTATAAAACAAATGGAAATGCTAAGAAACAAAGAAGTTCTCAATGTTTCTCAAACACATGGGGATACATACAGTTCTGATTCATTAAGTCTGGGTGAGTCCTGAGAATCTGCATTTCTAACAAGCTCTTGGGTGATGTTGACATAGCTGCTTAGAGACCACACTTTGAATAGCAAAAATTTACTGTAGATGGAGGAAGCAACATTCATATTATAGGAATCTAATTCTAAGATATTACTTGAAAGGAATTTTTTATATTTAGAAGCAAATCTGGTAGTCTGTGAATTTTGTTGTTCTGAAACAAGAATGGTTAAAATTTGCACTAGCATTTAATGAATGCTAACAACCCAGAATTATGTTACCTATGGACTCTCAAAAGGAAAAGGCCACTGATTCAATCACATCCTCACAGAAATCTTTGGAAGACTACACACATGTAAGTATGTTTATCTATGGCCATTCAACTTTTTATAAGAATTATGTAACTTTCTTTTTTGGTTTTGTTTTTTTGGTACTGGGGATCAAACTTGGGTCCTTGCGCTTGCGCAGCAGACAGTGAAACCACTGAGCTAAATCCCCAGCCCTATGTAACTTTCTTTACAATTGTAAGAGAAACAGCATCATTCTATATTTGGAAGATCCATAATAACAGTTACATGATTAAGTTTTTGGTATGTTGCTCCCTATACGGCTAAATGACAGAATGAACATACCAATAATCCTACTGACAGAAAACTTCAAATAAAGAGTAAGAAAGTAAGCTTTGAGAGTCACTCATTTAAAATGGAAAAGAAACAGAACTTCCATGTTAATTTCTGAAAACCTCTCAATTAACAAAAAACTACATTTGAACACACACAAAAAAACCAAAAAAACCCCCCAAAACAAAAAGGGCTGGGGATTTAGCTCAGTGGTTCTGCTGACTGCCTCGCAAGTGCAGGGTCCAGAGTTCGATCCCCAGTACCAAAAAAACAAAAAAAATCTACATTTGAACAATCTGTTAGAGGATCTGAAAGCAGAAGCAGTTTCTTTTCATGAAACCAAGGTGACACATCTTCAGAAAAAAAAATGAAAACCGAAAATTACAACTAAGATTCAGATAAAGATCTGTGTAGGAAAGCAAAAGGCATAATTTAAAATTATATACTTTGAGCAGTTGGAGCAAGTTGTCTTGGTAGGAGCTGGTACATTGGCAGATGAAATGTACTCAGTGATGCATGGTGTGGAGCAGAAAAGCTGAGTAGACCCTTTCCTCTGATAAGCAGTTTGTCCTTTCTGGAGGATTTTTTTACAACCAGCACAGGAAACCTGAATAGCTGTAGTTGAAACTGAAGGAAGTATTTTATTCGTGCCAGATGACGCCAGAGAAAGCTGAATGCCTGTATTCAACTGTGAAGCTATAAAAATGAAACAGGAAGAAAAAAATTAGTATTTCCAACAAATTAAATATGCATTCTTTCATATTTAGAGGTAACTTCTGGACTTGAAATCCAACTCCCTACAAGGCATTAGTCAAAAGCATAAAAAAAAAAAAAAAAAGTAAATTGGCATATCATATATTAAATATAATTAAATAAGTCTATTACCACTGTCTGAAAATGTGTTTATTTTCAGTTCATTCTCCTGATTTCTGGGTTGTTGGGCTTGACAATAATCCTAAAAAATAATTGAAAATAATGAATACCATGTATTAAGAGAGTCAATCAACAGAAAATGACAAATTATTCTCAAGTCTGTTCAATGAACTGTATAACTGACTTGAACCACAGGTACGCATTCTCCTTTTGGTGCCCTTTGGCTGGTAATAATTTTCCACAGCATTCAGAATCAACAGTTTTTCAGTAGTGTCCAAGGACAAAATAACAATTTAACAATCTTAATTGGCTTTATTTTAAATTCTAGAATCAGGCAATAGTTAATTCCATAAAACACAGTAAGTGTTCCAATGAGTCAAGCAGAGGAGGCTGGTTTTAAGCGTAAAAAAGGGCTGATGAAAGAATAACAAAAATCAAGTGGACCAATCCTTTCAAAATTACTTTCTTTTTGCTGCGCAAGCGCAAGGACCCGAGTTCGATCCTCAGTACCAAAAAAAAAAAAATTTCTTTCCTTAGCAAGTGGAGATAAAACAATACAAAAAATAACTGATTAATGTGAAGTTACTTCAGGTTACCTTGTTTTGTGTAAGGATTAGGTAGAGGGAATTTTATTATCAGGCAATTGAAACCTGCCTGTTTGGGAAATTCTGCTGTTTTCTCTCTAATACAGATTTTTTGGAAGGTCAGATAAACAGTTTAGGTTCAGTTTGGTGACCCGAAACTTTAGGGACTTCATTGTGATTTTTATCTTGGTCTGTTTGAAGCTCAGTGGACTTGAGTAATATTTAACAAATCCCACCACCAACGGAGAGTAGGTACACTCCATGACACCTACTGTCCCTACTTAATTGTTAACAGCCAATTGTCTTCATAAAGACCTTAAACCCAGAATTGTTTGATTGGACTGAATGATTCTTATAAAGGAGGCTTTTTTCCTGAACATCAGCAATTCCATGGCCCACATGTGTTATGGTTTATATCTAGATGTTCCCCCAAAGCATCATTGGTTCATAGGCGGGGCTTTTGGGAGGTGATTACATCATGGGGGAGCTATAGTCATTGGTGGATTAGTCCATGGATGAGTTTATAGCTAAATGTGCTGTTAGGAGTAAGGCTGGGGCAGAAGAAGTGGGTTATTGAGGGTGTGGCCTTGAAGGGTATATCTCTCTAGCTCCTCCCTTTGTGCTCAGCTTCCTGACTGCAATGAGGTGACCACTTTTCCTCTGCTAGTTCCTTCCACCATGCCTTCCTGCCTTGGAACCAGTCAACCATGTACTAAACATGTAAGCCAAAATAACCTTTCCTCCATTTACTTGTGGGTGTCAGGTACTGTGTCTCAGGTTACAAGGAAAGTGACTAAAACAATGTCTAAACTTGATCTATAAGATTTGAATGTCCATGAGGTGGAGAAGCAATAGGTAATTCCTACATAGATAACATTCCCTAGTATGATCAACTCAAGAGCAATAATACCCTCACTTAATATTGATCTACTTTATGTTACTTCACTATGTTGCACAGGCTGGCCCCAAATTCCTGGGCTCAAATGAGCCTCCTGCTTCTGTTTCCCTAATAGTGGACCATGGGTGTGCACCACTGCACCTACCTGAGGGTACTTCTCAGTGAAATATTAGAAATAGAACTGAATTCTCTGATTTCCTTTGTTTCATCAGAGATTTCAGCTATTTTATTTAAAAATATTCTAAGGAAATCTGATGTTTCATAATAGTCACAGCTTGAGTCCGTTTATCTTTCATAGGTTCTTTTGTAGGTGGTACTTTTCACCAGCTAGTGTTGGTCTTTGCTTTCGTGATATGCAAATGAAAACTAAAGCATGAATTTACAGAAAAAGCTCTTTCTTTCTTTTTTTTGAAGCAGGGTCTCCCTTTGTAGTTCAGGCTGGCCCTGAACTAGTAGCCATCCTCCTGCCTTAGCCTCCTGAGTGCTGGGATTACAGGCATGTGCCACCACACCTGGCTCCAGAAAAAGCTTTAATTGAAAAGTAAGAGAGAAGACAGGAAAAGATTCCAGCACGAGTAGGGAGCACATTCTGATACAGGAGTTCAGACTGGCCCACCACAAAAGCAGGAAGTAAACTTTTAAGGATTAGCGGAGGTCTGGCTGATTATTATCTCAGTCCTGGTTTCAAAGCTCAGGTAGAATCCTTGTCATCCTTGAGGGGGAATTTGGTTCCCATGGGAGGAATCCATGGATTAGGATCTGAGGGCAATTCCAGTCACAGGAAGCTCTGCTGGAATCCAAGGTCACCATAGGCTCAGGACCTTGGAGACTACCAGATGTAGATGTTTTCAGTTTTGAAGAGTGATGAGACAGACTAGGTAGATTTTAGGTCTAATATACAAGACACCCTCTAAGAGACTAATATGTCTGGATGCAGAGCTGAGAAGGACCCAGAATTTCACAAAATGAAGGTCAAGCTTTGATTTACTTTTAGTTACTAAGTGGGCATTTGTAGGCCCAAATGAAGAGTCTCATTTTTAGCAAAAACAGCTTAAAATCCCTGACTTTCTTAGGAGAAAACACAAATCAACGCATCAGATGATTTACAGGTTTAAAGGCCTAGGAATTTATTCTTTGCCTCTATGGTGGTCTCTGGCCATGTCATGACTATGTCAGTATGTCTAAAAAGGGTTTTAAAAAATTTAATCTAGTAGAGCATATGTTTAGTATATTAAAGGCTCTGTGTTAAATCTCTAGCACCAGGAAAAAGAAATGTGCAAGGTCCTGAGTTCAATCCCAGATACCAAAAAACCAAAAACCAAAAAAACAACTAATTTGGGTTAAAAAATTATAAAGAAAATCTTTTATGAGTTTAAAATGATAACCCATGCCTGTAATCCCAGCACTCTCAGAGGCTGAGGCAGAAGGACAGCAAGTTCAAGCCCAGACTGGACAATTTAGTGACTTAACATGACTCTGTCCCCTCCCCAAAACAAAAAGCTTAAACAGTGCATTAATTGTATTACTCAATGGAGGCAGTAGCATAACACATACAGTTAGTTATCTGTATTATTTCGAGTTAAAAAAACAAAAATGTAAGGAGGCTAGGGATGTAGCTCAGTGGTGCTGTGCCTGCCTAACAAGTGCAAGGTCTTGAGTTCAACCCCTGGTACTGAAAACAACAACAACAACAATGACAACAACAAAACATGTTAAAAATAACATTAAAAATTACATTAAAAAGGGCTGGGGATTTAGCTCAGTGGTGCCACCGCCTGCCTCACAAGCGCAAGGTCACGAGTTCTACTGGTACCAAAAAACCAAAAAAAAAGCAAACAAAAACTACATTAAAAAAACAAACAAACAAAAATGTGTTAACCATAACAAAGTCAATTACAACCTAAGCAATTTTACCTACCTAAAAGCCCATCTCTAAAGAGTCTATTTTTCTTTCAAATCACTTTCTTGGCACTTCATACCATATGCCTTACATTATTTGATCAACTACTTTGGAGAATTTAAGTTTTCAACTGATAAATTAGCATTTTTATAATTAAACACTGCTTTAGAAAAAAGAATATAAGGTAAAATATTTACTTGAGCATTGTCCGGTTCTGTCTTAATTTCATTTAATTGCCCCAGTTGTGGTGACATTGCCTTGTCACATTCACCATCTAACAGTGGTTCTTTCATTTCAGTATCTGATGCAAAGGAATCCTCCAGCTCCAAACCAATGGGTTTCTTCCTGGGGAACAGTTTCCAGATTCCTAAAATAAAATACTGGTGAAGAGTCTATAAAGGAACCACAAAAGGATGTTTAGATAACTCAGCATCAAGGTTCCTTCAAATCACAACTGACTTTCTTCCTTTTACTCATTATTCTTTAACACAGTTCTACTTTACATTCTTGGTAGCTCTGTGCTTTCTCCTAGAACTAATTTCCATTTCTTTTTCCTGAGGCTAGGATACCTAGAAGGGTTTTTGTTTTGTTTTGTGGTGTTGGGGATTAAACCCAGGGCCAGGGGCGCTTGCAAATTAGGTAAGTGCTCTTAAATGAGTCATACCTTCTAGCCTGATTTTTAATTTATCAGTAGTCTTAGAAAATGTAAAGCTTTTTTATTTTGATGGAACTAGGGACTGAACATTGAACCCACTCCTTTTGCACTAAACTACATCTCCAGCCTGTTCATTTATTTTTTAATTTAATTTAATTTTTTTTGGTACTAGGGATCGAACTCAGGTCCTTAGCTTGCCAGGCAGGTGGTGGAACCACTGAGCTAAATCCCTGGCCCTGTTCATTTATTTTTTATTTTGAGTCAGGGTCTCACTAAATTGCTAAACTGCCCAGGCTGGGGTGGGACCTGAGATCTTCCTGCCTGAGATCTTCCTCAGTCTCCCAGAGGGCTGGGATTACAGGTGTGCATCACCATGTTGGTTTAAAATGCAAAGTCTTCTGAGATTAATTCAATCATTCTGCTCACTATACCACCTCTGTCTGCCAGTTATCTCCTCTCTGCTTCTCTCCTTATTGATTCTTCTTACATAGCATTTAAATACATTCAAGGTGCTAGATATGGTGACCCACACCTGTAATCAGTTCAAGGGCAGTCTGAATTGCACAGCAGATCCTGTGTCAAAAGCAACATCAACAACAAAAATAAAAATAAACAACAAAACAAAACAAAAAATACATTCAAGGAACCAGGACCAAGGGAAGGGGATTCAATTTCTTATGTTTGTGTCCTCTCTTACTACTCTGTAGTTCTGACTCCAGAACCTTCCATTTCTTTTCTTTTGCCAGTCTTTTTGCAAATACTTACTTCATCTGCTTCTAAAATATTTGTGTTCTGGACCAGGGATTTAGCTCAGTGGTTCCGCCACCTGCCTCACAAGCGCAAGGTCCTGAGTTCAATCCCTGGTACCCCCTCCCCAAAATTGTGTTCTTCCAAAGCACAATTCCCCAGTACTCTTCTCACTTGCTACATGGGTAGGTACAATGTGAGATTCAATTATCACTTATAAGCTGATTTTCCTCTACATTCCCAAGCTCCAGCCCATTTACCTAGTTATCTATTGAATACCTCTTCTTGGATATTCCATGGGTCCTTCAAACTCAGGAGATTTAAAACTATATTCTCATATTTATAAACGTGCTTAAACATGCCCCCCCCCCCTTTGGTACTGGGGATGGAACTTGGGACCTTGCGCTTTTGAGGCAGGCAGTGGAACCACTGAGGTAGATTCCACCCTTCCTTTTTGAGATAGTATCTTGCTCTGTTGTTCAGGCTGGAGTTGAACTCACGTAGTTCCTCCAGCCTGAGCCTCCTAAGTGCTGGCATTATAGACATGCACTACCATACCCGGCCTGCACATTCCTTTTGTTGTCAAATGGCACTATTATATACTGAATTTCCCCAGCCAGAAATCTAGTAGTTCTAAATTAACTTTTCTCCTCAAATCTAATCACAAAATTGGGTTGAGTCTACCTTCTAATTAAGTCTGGACTTTTCCCCATGATACATCATGCCTACTTCTCATCCACCAAATCAATGAATTCTGTTTTGGTACACAGATTGCTAAAATTCAAAATTATAATATAAAAGGTGGTTGTAAATTTAGACAAAGAATTCCAGGACCTGGGATTATTAACTCAGTGGTAGAGTGGTTGGTTCTGGATTCAAACGCTAGCAGCACCACACACGTACACACACACAAATGAATTTCATGATTTTTTATTTTGGTACCGGGGATCGAACTCCGGTCCTTGCACTTGCAAGGCAGGTGGCAGAACCACTGAGCTAAATCCCCGGCCCCCAAGACTAGCTTTTAGTACAGTCCTACTTGTCTTTCCAAACTGGGGCTAAAGTGTAGTATGTCAGAGTGTAACAGTCAAAGGATAATTGTGGCTGCTTTCCCTGCTGGTCAATACTACTTGGTAGTAATTTAAAACACTTTGATTAAGAGGTTGGGGATACGACCCAGTAGTAAAGAATATGATTAGCATGGGCTGGGCATGGTGGCACAGGTTTGTAATCCCAGCACTTGGAAGGCTGAGGCAGAAGGATGTCTTTTGAGTTCAAGGCCAGCCTGGGATATATAGCAAGACTCTGTAGCAAAAACCAACCAACCAAACAACCCAAAACAAACAAACAAAAAATCCCTACATATCATTAGCATGCAAAAAGCCCTGGGTTCATTCTCCAGCACTGCAAAATGATTTTTTTCTTAACATGTTCACAATGTTTTCTTAACATGTTCGTATGTCTAGTTTCCAGGTGGTACTTCACGGTGGTGGGAATGTGTTAAACCAAACAGGAACACATCATGGAACAGATAACAAAACTTATATTATGTTTCAAAAGTGAAACGTGACGGCAAAGAAACTGCAAGTTATCAAGAGTTACATATACAAATCTTTATAGAGGGAATTCATCTACTTTCCTCCTGAGAAATTAGTACAATATTACTTATATAAATCTGGTTTTTCAAGCCATTTCACCTTAATCTTTCAATTTTTCCCTACTATATTTGTGTTCATACTGTTTTCCACCCTGCAAAAATCATCTTGTGTTGAAATACTGCTTGTTTGAAAACCAGTTCAGCTACATATTTTATCAGACTGGCAAGAATTTAGGGCACTTTTCAAGGCAGAATAGGGGAAAAAAGCCGAAGCAGAAAACAGTAGGAGACAGTGTTTCTGTTGTGAATTGTGGGCAACATAGTGAGACCCTCTACTGAAAAAAAGAAGCCCCAGATTTACAAACAAATCCTCTAAGTCACTGGCTGACTCCTAAAATGCGGCATCTGCCGTTGGACTCCAAAAAACCTGACAGAAAACAGCAGTTGGGAGGCTAACAAGCTGAGAACAGATAATACTTTAGTAGATATTCAATGCTGAAATTTAAGACCAGCAAAAGGAAAGGGGCCTTGTTTAATTAAAAGCAGGCATTTTCCTGGGCAGGTGGTACACACCTATAATTCCAGCATTCTGGGAGGCCTAGGAAGGAAGATCCAAGTTGGAATCCCACCTGGGCAACTTAGCAAGACCTTATCTCAAAATGGGATGGGGATGTAGCTCAGTCAGAAAGTCTTGGATTCAGTCTCCACACCCTCAAGAACTGCCTGCCTTTCAATAGAGATCCTAGGAGGCCCTACCCTGGGAACAAAAACTACTTCTTTGAAGGACTGGCAACCCAAAATAGACTATCCTTATCAAGGTCTAAAACCAACCCTCAGGCTGCAGTGCAGCTCAGTGGTAGAGCACCTGTCTAGTTTGTACAAGGGCTAGGTTTTATCCTTATCACTGCAAACAAACAAAAAACCAATCCTCAACAGTATCAGAGATCAGTGTAATCTGCAGTGTGCCTGCCTAAATGAAATATAGTTCTCTTTGAAGGAAGTACATCTAGACCTAAGAATTTTCATCCATCACGAGCAGAATATAAAATACAATAAAAATGTGTGAGCCAATAATAATAATTTTTTTAAAAATCCCAAGTGAAAACAAAAACAAAGCCAGTATGATGGTGCACACCTGTAATCCCAGCACTCTGGGAGACTGAGGCATGAGGACTGCAAGTGCAAGGCCAGCCCAGGAAATTTAGTAAACCTCTATTTCAAAATTAAAAAAAAAAATTTTAAAGTTGGGGGTGTAGCTCAGTGTGAAGGCCTTGGTTTCAAAGCACAATACAATAAACAAAAAGAAAAAGGAAGTAGAGACAATGGAAACAATCCCCCAGAAGTCTTAAGATTATTGATATGATTAAATAAGGACTCTGATTTAAGAAAATAGAGGAGGGGCTAGGGATTTAGCTCAGTGGTTCCGACAGACACCTGCCTCGAAAGTGCAAGGTCCGTAATTTAATCCCCAGTACCAAAAAAAAAGAAAAGAAAAGAAAAAATAGAGGAGATGAAGAAGTTCAGTAGAAAGCCGAACCCACAAAAAAAAGGAAATCAAATGGACATTCCAGAATTAAAGAAAACAGAATAAGGAAATTAAAAATTTAATAGATGAGGGCTGGGGATTTAGCTCAGTGGTTCTGCAGCCTGCCTCACAAGCAGAAGGACCCGAGTTCAATCCCCGGTACCAAAAAAAAAAAGAAAAAATAATGTAATAAATGAATTTACAAGTCAAGTTAATAAGAAATGGACTGGTACATGAGACAAAAGGATAAAAAATACAAATAATGGAACATATAGCACATGTAAACAGTTTCAGAGTAAGAGAAAAATAGACAAAAAGCAATTATTTGAAGAAATATGACTGGACAATATACCCAAACTGAAGAAAAACATCAAACCACTTGAATTCAAGAAGCTCTATGAATCCCAAACATGATAAATATAAAGAAAAACACAAGTATTATACATCACAGTCACACTGGTTAAAACAAAAGATGAAAAGAGAATCTTAGGCCCGGGGATTTAGCTCAGTGGTTCCGGCACCGGCCTCGAAAAGAGAATCTTAAAAAGCATCAAGAGAAAGGGAAAAAAATTAACATACAAAACGAAAATGAAAGATATTTTGTCAGAAACAATGAAGGCTAGAAGCTAGAGATACATCTTTCAAGTACTGTACTGGGAAGCTGGAGGTGTAAAAACATGCCTAGCATGCAGCCCTGGATTTAATCTATAGAACCCCTATATTTTATAGTAATAAAATACTATGGAAATTTCTACCTAAATTCTATATCAAACAAAAATATGCTTTCAGTGGAGTGTCACAGCACGGATTTGTAATTCCAGCACTTTGAGGCTGAGGCAGGAGAATCTAAAATTTGGGCCCAGCTTGGGCAATTTAGCAAGATCCTGCCTCAAAAGAAAAGGAAGGAAAGGAAAAGAAAAGAAGTGCAGGGGTAGGGGGGTAGGGCAGGGAATGTGCAAGAGCCCTGGGTTCACTCAGTAGAGCTAAAAACAAAAACAAAAAATTAAACAAGAGCTTCAAAATTATGAGTGACAGGGGCCGGGGATTTAGCTCAGTGGTTTCGCCGCTTGCTGCGCAAGCGCTCAAGGACCCGAGTTTGATCTCCAGTACAAAAAAAAAAAAAGAATTCAGAGCTTCAAAATTATGAGTGACAGGGGCCGGGGATTTAGCTCAGTGGTTTCGCCGCTTGCTGCGCAAGCGCTCAAGGACCCGAGTTTGATCTCCAGTACAAAAAAAAAAAAAAAATTATGAGTGAGGCCAGGTGTGGTGGCACACACCTGTAATCTCAGCACTCCTGAGGATGAGGCAGAAGCATCACCAGGAGTTAGAGGTCAGACTGAACTACATACCAAGCCCTGTCTGGAGAAAAAAAAAAAAATTATGAGTGAAACAAGACATTTTCAAAAAAATTTTTTTACCAGCAAGCCTATACTGCAGAAATGCTAAAGGAAATTTTTTTAAAAAATAAATTTTATTTTATCTCCCCCCAGCATGTACAAAAGCTTTGTTTAAAGGAAATTCTTTAGGCTGAAGTGAAATAGTAGGTGAGAATTTGGCAGAAAGGCTGGAAAAAAGTAAATTATTTTTATTTTTAGATAACATAAGCATATATATAGAAACTCTAAGGAATCTTCCCTAACCAACTTTAAAAAAAGGAACTGTTAGAATATAGTACTCTTCCCTTACCCTAAGTTTCACTTTTCTTGGTTTCAGTTATCTGCAGTCAACTATGGTCTGAAAATATTAAATAATTCCAGAAATACACAATTCCTTAGTTTTAATAAACAATTCTTTTTTTTTTTTTTTTTTTGGTACCGGGGATCGAACTTGGGTCCTTGCGCTTGCACAGACGGCGAAACCACTGAGCTAAATCCCCAGGCCTAATAAACAATTCTTAAGTTTCAAACTGAATGCTGTTCTGAGTACCATGATGAAAGCATCTGCCTTCCTGTTCCATTATCCACTCTGTAACTCTTTTTTTTTTTTTGGTACCAGGGATTGAACTCAGGACCTTGCACTTTCAAGGCAGGCAGCGGAACCACTGAGCTAAATCCCCGGCCCTACTCTGTAAGTCTTAGGGGTTAGCTGTTGCAATGCTTGCGTTCAATAACATTTATTTTACTTAACGCAGAAGAGCAGCAATGCTGGCAATTCAGATATGCCAAAGAGAAGCTGCAAAGTGCTTCTTTTTAAATGACACATACAGGGTTTGGTACTATTCTAGGTTTCAGGAATCCACTTGGAGTCTTGGAAAGTATCTTCCACAAGTAAGGGGGGGGGGCTAATAAAGAATTTAGCAATACAAGTTTGATATTTTAGAATTTCTCCTCTCATCATGTCTCTTCAACACTATACTAGAGGTTTTTTAAGTCAATAACTCAAGAAAAAAAGGGAAAATTTTGAAAACACTTGTCATTCTTTATAGATGATTGTACATAGTGAAAAAACTCATACGGATCTGTAAATAATTACATTAAGCAAGGTCAATATTGAAAAACTGATTGTATTTGTTTGCACTAAAATAAAAACATTTTAAAAACTATTTTCTCTGACATCATAAATATCAAATATAGGGTCTGGGGATGTAGCTCAGTGGTAGACATCTTGCTAGCACACATAAAGTCCTGGCTTTAATCCTCAGAAGTACACACAGAAAAAGTAAACACAAAATATAGAAATAAATCTAATGAAAAGGCCAAGACTTGTACACTGAAATCAAAACACTGTTAAGAGAAATTAGGGAAGATTAAAACAAATGGAAAGATACACAATACTATTCAAAGATTCAACTTTTGGTCAATTTTCCCTAAATTAAGCTGTGGACCAAAATTCCTGTAGGGATTTTTGTGGAACTTGCAAGATAACTCGAATGTACATATACAGAACCTAGAGTACCCAAAACAATCTCAAAAAGGAAAGGAAAAAAAGTTGAATGACTTACAAAGCTACTGTAACTAAGATACAGTAGCATGGTATGGCCCTGGGGAAGTATTTCAATGTAGAGCAAGCACTTAGCAAGGCAAAGACCTGGGTTCAGTCCCCAGCGGGAAAAGCAGAGGGGAAAGGAGGAAGAAGGGGAAGGGGAAGGAAGGTGAAAGGAAGAAAGCGTGGTATGCACACAACAAAAAATAAAACTCAAAAACAGATATACTCCTCTTGTTTGCATTATACTTACTACTACTACTATTTTGTGGTTTTGTGTGTGTGTGTGTGGTGCTGGGGATGGAAGCCAGGACCTCACACATACTAGGCAAGCACTTTACCACTGAGCTACTTCTCCAGTCCTATACTTTATATTTCATTTCGAAATATAAATTTACTTTTAAAAAGCTAATAAAATCATGATACATTTATCTGTGTTACATATCAAGTAGGAAGTATTTGGATACTTCCAAAACAATAACTTTTGTTAGATTAACACAGACGTTAAGGAAGTAGCAGCCTTTCCTACTGAGTGAATACAGTTCAATTCTTTGTGGCTCTGGCATTCATCAGGATGGTGACAAGTTTGCACCAGTTCTTTCTGGATTCGAGCCTGTGTATGTTCACTCATATAAACCTTAGACTTAAATTCACTACTTTACCAAATACATTACTCCTTTAATGCTCCTGCCTCAATCTAAGAGTTAAATGGTTAAGTGTTGTAAAATTAAGTTCTTGTTATAAATATTGGGGACCTATATATTTGTGATGAGAAATACAAGTTCTCGTCAAATATCACTGGTAATTCAAAATTCAATTCTTAAAGCAAAAACTGTCCAGTATGTTTTTGTTGTTTTTTTGGCACAGCTAGGGACCATACTCAGGGCCTCATGAATGTTATGCAAGCATTCCTACTGCTTAACTACATTCCCATCTCCATCCCCTCATTTCCAGTATTTTCAAGCTTTAGGTTGATTTTAATTGAAAAGTGTACTGACGCCGGGCGTGGTGGTGCACGCCTGTAATCTCAGCACTCAGGAGGCAGAAGCAGGAGGATCGCTGCGAGTTCGAGGCTAGCCTGGGCTACATAGTGACTTCAGGGCCAGCCTGAACTACAAAGTGAGATCCTATCTCAAAAACAAGAAAGAAAAGAAAAGCGTACTGACACTGCATCCTAAGAAGGCTGATTAAATTACGTTTGCAAACACTCGTGTATGCAAACCAAGATATTCTCAATCCTGCACACAATCACTACCGCATCTTCATCTAGTTCAAATCTCAAATCCGAATTCAAGAGTACAAGTTTTATAATGACTTTGTCTCTTTTGGCTGTAATCCCATGGGCAATTCTATTTGCAAACGCTATTCTATGATTTTTTTTAAATTAGAAAAATCACTGTTTAATGAGTCACAGGTATAATCTGATGAATGTTTCAGAAAGGAAGGCCGCTCAAATTATCACGCAGGAACCAGAAGACGCGCCGGAAGCGAGACAAGGACCCCGATTCTCCGCAGACGATGTTAAAGGGTCAACTGGCAAACCAGGTCGGGGCTTGGCCTGGAGTTCCCGACTCCCAAGTTCCAGAATCCGGATTTAGTGCTGCGTCTCTAGAACCTAGGCCCCAACAAGCTTGTCATCTCCCCTCCGACAAAATAAACTCTGTTCCTTTCTAGTTACGCGCCTGAGTACAGACCGAAACCCGAGCCGCAGTAGGAATCTTACTACTTTCTCCCCACAGGACGCTCAGCAAACGAAGCTTCTCACAGGTTCTTCCACGCAAAACGGCTCCTTCGGCCCCGCCCCTCTCCCGCCGTCCTCTGCGGCTGAGCATGCGCAACGTGGCGGGTCCACGGCGTGGTTCTCTCAGTAGGGAAGGGCGACCTTGGTTTAGGCAAGGAGGTGGGAGAGGGGGAGGGGAAGAGGCTTTCTGTTCCTAGTCCTTTGTTATTTAAGTCAGTCTTTAGCTGCCAGCCAAATTTTGGTCCTTAAAGCCTGCAGCTTCTGAATGACATAGAACTCAGGCAGGCTGATAAGGTTTCTTGAATTTGAGATGGCTCTATCACTTAGAATAAGTGATGTGCGAACTTCTGTAAAACCAGCTTCTTAATCCTTGAAATGGTGATAATTGTAGTGCTTGCTACATAGGTTTGTGAATACCAGGCAGTGTTAGCAAAGAGTCAGGTACAGAATAAATTACCGGTACACTTACTCGCAGAAATAAGGAATTCTGCCATTTTGGGGAGCTCTAGAGATACTATGAATTAAAATAAGTCCAAAAGTGTGTGGCAAAATTATGGTTTTTTGTTTTGTTTTGTACCGGGCATCGAACTCAGTACCTTGCACTTGAGATGCAGGCAGCGGCACCACTGAGCTAAACCCCTGGCCCTATGGTATGTTTTAAATGCTAATATTTAACAAATTAATACTTGAAACACCTTAGAAAGATTGAATCAAATAATTGTTGGGGCTGTGGATTTAGCTCAGTGGTTCTGGCGCCTGCCTCGCAAGCGCAAGGTCCAGAGTTCGATCCCCGGTACCAAAAAAAAAATAATAATAATAATTGTGGGATTTCTAAAGTCATAATAGGATTCGAAAAAATAAGCATATAGTTAAATAACTTATTCCAACCTTGTCTTTAATCATTGAACACAGAGGTTCATGCATACTTGGAAAGTACTCTACCACTGAGCTACATCCTCCGACCTTTCTATTTTTTTTTTTTTTCTTTTTTTGGTACCAGGAATCAAACTTGGGTCCTTGTGCTTGTGCAGCAGGCGGCGAAACCACTGAGCTAACTGAACTTGAACACTGAACTTGCAGTGATCCTCCTGGCTCAGCCATCCAAGTGCTGGGATTACAGGTGTGTGCCACCACACCCAGCCTATACATATGTACATGCGTGTACATGCATACACACATCTTAAAGTAATGAGAATAAAAATCAGTTTCACACATGCTAGGCAAGTGCTATACCATTAAGCTGTTCTCCAGCCTTAATGTTTTCTCTAGGATTGGGGATTGAAGAACTCAGGGCCTTCACACTGAAATAAACCTTCAATCCTTTTTATTTTGAGATAGAGTCTCATTAAATAGCTAAGTTACCCAGGCTGAGCTTGAACTTGTAATTCTCCTGCCTCAACCTCCCAGAGTGCTAGGATTACAGGTGTGCACTACTACACCTGGCCTAATTTTTTTTAGAAAGTCAAGGTTTCTTTTTGATGACATTTGTTAAAGGTGGTGTGTAATAACGCCTGGGGGTGGGGGCCACATGTCTGTAATCCTAGACTCGGACTCAGGAGACTGAAATGGGAGGATCACTTGAACCCAGAAATTTGAAACTATTCTGGGCAATATAGCCAGACCTTGCCGCAAACCAAACCCCAAACAAAAATGATGATGGCAAAAGAAAAAATTCTGAGGCTGGGGATTTAGCTCAGAGGCACTGCGCCTGCCTCACAAGCACAAGGTCCTGAGTTTGATTCCTGGTACCAAAAAAAAAAAAGGAAAAATTTCTGAGATGTATCACTCAATGATGCTGATAGAGATTCCACGGTGGGGGAAGGGGGGCAGGGCGGCAGGCAGTTGAAAGAAGAGGCAAAGAACAGTTGGCAAATGGAACACCTTTATTTCCAGTGGTTATGAAGCCATGTATTTAGCATAGCCACCTGAGGATATACTGCATAGGAGCATGATAAAGGTGGCTATATGCCAGCAAAACGACTATGGTTATATAAGTTATTTACACAGGCCAGCAAATGACCTTGGCTACAAACTTATTTACATTGAGGTATCAGGAGATGCTCCTGTGCTGGAATTCTGTTGACACAGAACCCACTGCCTCCTAGATCTGCTTCCCTTCACAGCCTGAACAGAAGTACTGCCATCTTGCACTTTTGCATTTCCCTAGGGCCTTAAAGATGTTATACATTTAATGTGAAAGACCTGAGATTTGAGGGGAGAAGAGATAAGGGAAATAATCAGTTAACAGTTGCTGCAGTCAGCATCCTAGTAAATGAGAAAAAGCTGAAAGCATTTCTTCTACTATCAGGAACAGGACAAAGTAGTCTACTCTTTCTGCTCTTATTCAATATCATGATAGATGTTCTAGCCAGAGCAATTAGACAAGAGAAGGAAATAAAAGACATACAAGTAGGAAAGTAAAATTATCTCTGTTTGGGGCCGGGGATTTAGCTCAGTGGTTTTGCCGCCTGCTGTGCAAGCGCAAGGACCTGAGTTTGATCCCCAGTACCAAAAAAATATATATATCTCTGTTTGTAGATGATATGATTCTATACCTAAAATTCCTAAAAACCACCAAAAAAACCTGATAGAACTGAGAAATGAATTCAGTAAAGTAGCAGTGTACAAAATCAACATACAAAAATCAATAGCTTTTCTATATACCAGTAACAAATTTGCTAAGAAAGAAACCATGAAGGCAGTTCCACTCACAACACACACAGCCTAGAAATAAACTTAAGTAACGAAATGAAGACCTCCACGATGAAAATTGTTATCAGATGATGGGATGTTTTGACCCAGAGATGGTAGAAAAGAGATTGGGCCAAACACACACACACACACACACACACACACACACACACACACACACATGCATGCATGCACACACGCACACTTGTAAAGCTTTATGGGGGGTGGAGTTTCAGCCAAATTGAGCTTTTCAGCTGAGTCAGCAATGGGTCAAAAGAGTGACCAAGCTGCTGTTCACAGAACAAAGAAAGTGGTAGGTTTTATTAATTTTCTGGGGTATGTTGAAGTCTGGTAATTCCCACTGGGGGATGATTTCTAAAAGATGTGTCCAAAAGAGTGAGAGAAAAAGAAAGGAGAAAGAGAAAGAAAACACAACATTACAACATACTGGCTCCAATGGGCAATAGGCCAAATTAACTCTGTACTACAGTTTTGGACAAAACATTTAAAAATGATCAGCCTGCCAGGCATGGTGGCACATACCTGTAATCCCAGCACTCAGGAGGTGGGAGGATCACTGAGTTCAAGGCCAAGACCCTCCTAAAAAAAAAAAAAAAAGTCAATATGTCTATGTACAGAGCTAAGTTAAGACAGCAAAGAGATGGAAAGACCTCACTTGTTTATGGATTGGAAGAACAAATACTGTATTATTAAAGTGTCCATACTACCCAAGGCAATAGACAGATTCAATGAAATTTCATCAAAATATTAATGACATTCTTTATAAAACAAGAAAAGCAATCTTAACATTCATATGGAAGCACAAAAGACCCCAAATAGCCAAATAATTTTTTTTTGGTACTGGGGATCAAACTCAGGATCTTGTGCTTGCAAGGCAGGCACTGGAACCACTGAGCTAAATCCCTGGCCATGCCAAATAATTTTTTTTAGGCTGTATTGTGAGTTGAACTCAAGGTCTTTCAAATGCTAGGCAAACACTAGCACTGAGTTACATCTCCAGCCTGCCAAAGAAATCTTGAGCAAAAAGAGCAAAGCTGGAGGCATTATAATACTTGATTTCAAGACACACTGAAGAGCCATAGTAACAGACCAATGGAACAGAATGAGAAGCCAGAAATAAACTCACACATCTACAGCCAACTGATTGTCACCAAAGGTGCCAAAAAGATACATTGGAAAAGATGGCCTCTTCAATGAACAGTACTGGTAAAACTGGATAACCACATGTAGAAGTTTGAAACTTGACCCCCTACCTCCTATCCTGTACAAAAATTAATTCAAAATAGATCAAAGATCTTAATGTAAAAAAAAAAGATCTTAATGTAAAACATGAAACTACTAAGGCTTGTACATAGATGCCCCCCTGAAAGCTTCATGTGGTCATAGGTGGGGCTTTTCAGAGGCGGCTGGATCTGGAGTGTGTGATGCTGGAATCAAGGGTGTGTGATTACTAAATTAGTCCACTGATTGGTTTGGCATAGTTTGGGGTAGGATTAAGGATGTCCCACCCTTAGGGCAGGTAGCCTGGATAAAATATAAGGGACAGAAAGAGGGCTAATGTTGTCATTTATAGCTTGCTGCTTGCTGCCTTCTGCCTGCCATGAACTGTTTCCCCTGCTTTGGAGCTAGCCAACTATGAACTGAAACCTCTACAAACTGTGAACTACAATAAACCTTTCCTTCTTTAACTTTGGGTGTTGGGTATTTTGTCTCAGCACAAGAAAAGTAACTAAGACAGAAACCAGAGGAGAAACACTTCAAGATATTGGTATTGGCAATAATATTTTAGATAGGAACCTTTAGGGACAGAAACAAAAACAAAAATTGACAAGTGGGATTGTATTACACTAAAATGCTTCTGCATTTAGGTGGGTGTGGCTTACATCTTTAATTCCAGCCATGTAGGAGGCTGAGGTGGGAGCATCAAAAAGTCAAGGGCCTTTCCATCTGGTGGCATCCATCAGGTAAGCCAAGATGGGTGCATACAAGTACATCCAGGAGCTGTGGAGGAAGAAGCAGTCGGATGTGATGCGCTTTCTCCTGAGGGTCCACTGCTGGCAGTACCGCCAGCTCTCTGCGCTGCACAGGGCTCCCCACCCCACCCGGCCGGATAAAGCGCGGAGACTGGGATACAAGGCCAAACAAAGTTATGTCATATACAGGATTCGAGTGCGTGGTGGTGGCCGGAAACGCCCAGTTCCTAAAGGTGCGACTTATGGCAAGCCTGTCCATCATGGTGTTAACCAGCTGAAGTTTACACGAAGCCTTCAGTCTGTTGCTGAGGAGCAAGCTGGACGCCACTGTGGGGCTCTGAGAGTTCTGAATTCTTACTGGGTTGGTGAAGATTCCACATA